ATCCATGCAAATAACCAATTAATATAGTACATTTGGTCAATAAACTTGACGTCACACGAAAACAATTTTAGTTATTTTTTGCCTTAGGAGTTAATCTTTAAAAATAAGCAATATATAAGTTATCAGCTCTGTTTCCTGCGAGAGCGGAGTAATTCCAATACCGCATCATTATTGTACAGTATACATGAAAAATAAGATATCTGTGAGTTGTGACCAGTCATTGAAGCCTTTGACAATATATTAAATATAACCATATAAATAGGGAAAAGTTTAATGGAAAGATGGCTATATCAAAAATAATTGCAACCTGACCGTTTACATTAAAAAAATTCATTTATATATCACGTTTTAAAAGGCTAAGGTTCACCCATTTTAGAGTATTTGAATATGTAAAATTTTTTAAGGCAATGGTTTGTTTTTGGTATTTGGTTTTGAGTCTTATTGTACGCTAATACTACTTATAGAAAATATATGACTTATAGTGAATTTTATTGCCAGAAATTATATTAGAGTGGTGGGGAGCTTTTATTTATTTATATTATATGACAAAAATATAGCAAATAAATAAAGTCTTTATTGTGAAGTTAAAAAATGAAGTGACAATTGTCAATACATAACGTGAAACTGAGATTAGCTTTTACTGCAATGGATATATAAATCAATTATACCAATACAAAACATATATCAAATTATTGTTGAAAAAATACAATCAGGGCCGGTGCAAGATGATTTGGCGCCCTAGGCAAGCCTTTAGATGTGCGCCCCCTTGAAAGTTTTGATAAACTAATGTAGGTACAGTAACCCATTACTACATTGTTTCTAACTCTCCAAACACCACTGATATTATATGACAAACAAATAAGTATATAAATAAATAAGTCTTTTATTGTAAGAAAAATTTAGTGGACAATTATTTGTAATGTTGACAATCGTGAAACTGGAGATTAGCTTTTACTGTAATGGATACATAACCAAATATATTCTACAAAACATATATCAAATTATTGTTGAAAAAAATACAATCACTATTACACACTCACGCAGTACATACGTCCACTAGTACACACTCACGCAGTACATACGTCCACTAGTACACACTCACGCAGTACATACGTCCACTAGTACACACTGACGCAGTACATACGTCCACTAGTACACACTCACGCAGTACATACGTCCACTAGTACACACTCACGCAGTACATACGTCCACTAGTACACACTCACGCAGTACATACGTCCACTAGTACACACTCACGCAGTACATATGTCCACTAGTACACACTCACGCAGTACATACGTCCACTAGTACACATCGTAACACACGTATGATAAAACTTGACGAATTGACGAGAAGCACTAAGATTGAAACAAAGACTCGCTAAGGTATATCCCTGTGTACAGCATTATAGACAGAGTACAAGAGAAATCAAATAACTACATACTATAAAAATAATAAGACAGTTTCAATTTACTGTTTAGCAGGATAG